AATTACAAAACATTTTCGTTGCTGTTGAAATAAAAAGTTTTATATTTCAATATTAAGTCGTTCATTTACTTATATATTGACTTCATCAGCATTGTTAAACGTCATTTCGATCTGGTGTGTCATCGAATTCAAGCCAATCAAGTGGTCTCCCTTGAGGGTGTGGGTGTAGATGTCGGATGTGGATGTCAGTACGACTTCTCTGTGCACTGTACCCACACCCACACCCTTTAGAGGCGTCAGTGTTTTTTTCATAAAGCACTGACTATTAATCAGAAACATCATCCAAATAATCATTCCTATTTCAGTATACTCTTGCACTAAACACCATAAATAAGTTTTTTCCTTATCAACACTATCAAATTACATGGATTCTACAAATTATAGACAACGTAATTGACGAAAAGAATATGTTACACTATGTATTATTCCAGTACTGTATAACAGTCACTATTGATTGTAGTGCATTGTCGATTCTACATTATTATGTTAGTCAGATCAAGTGATGCTACCTTGATATGAATCTCCATCGTCTAATGATAAGTCGTAACATCATTTTAGGTTGTCAACAAACAAGTATTGAACATAGGAGTCGGATCATCATCTAAGAAATATTTTCTTTATCCTACTTATGATCGTAATTATTTATTTATATGAAAATGTATAAATTGTTTTAATTTCTTAACACATGCTATCATTAAATTAGTGAACTGCATCGGTTTTTTTCGGATTTTGAGTAAACAGGAAATAAAAACTTTACATCAAGATCAAACTCTTTTCCGAGATGTAAATCCGATAGTGGAATCTTTTAGCTTTCGAATGATGCATCTGGATTTGAAAAACATTTTATTCCTGCAGTTCTACGCAGAAAACGATCGCAAAAAAAAGTCAGAATCGGGTTTACATCGGACTCCGATTTTTTTCGTATATTTTCCTTCTCTAATTCCATGGATTTATTTTTTTCCCAAAACAAGGCACATCATTTGGAAGCTAGAGGAGTTCTCTATCAAGCCCACATTTCAAAACAAAAGTTTGATATCGATGTAAAGTTTTTATTTACTATTTACTCAAACCCGAAAAAAACCCGTTGCAGTTCACTCCATTAAATCCAATATTTTATGGAATCGTTTTCACATATTGCTTGAGCATCAACGTAATCTTAGAAGACATCCATCATTGTAATTGTTTTATTGATTACAGCTATTCATATTTTGATTTCGATTTTTATCTTCGTGAGAGCCATTTATTGTATCTCTTAAGATAGATTATGTAACCAAATACATTTATTTTACTTCGAATTTAATGGTTGAATCAGAATACTATCAGAAAAATTCATTTTCTAAGCTGTTCTTAATTATATGGTAACCTCAACATTACATTGATAAATGAGCCAAAACAAAATAGGTCTGATAAAAATTTCAATAAAACTACCAAGAGAGAAAGACTTGAATGCATGTTCCTTTGCATTGTTATGAAGCAACACGACAGGACACTTGCATATAACAGAATTGCAGTCAAAGATAGCTGACGTCTACCATAACTAAATAATGCCACAAAAATGTTTTATCATTGATTATTTCAAAAAGAATTGATAAAATTCTCATTTCACAATAAATGATGCGAGAAATTAATCTAAACACATACTTACATGTAAATTGGCTTTGGGCAACAAAGTGATATACTTTAGTAACAATCAAAATTAATTATCTATCATGATCACTTTATTCGAGCGTTTAAATTGACTTCAATTTATACGTTCAATCAGTGTGTTATTTTCATATCATAGTCTGAAAGTTTGATATTTTTTCTTCTTTTGCAAACCAACTAATTTAGTTACGCTTAGAAATGTGAAGAGCATTGAAGCGGAGTAAAAATAATAGAATTAAAATCAATCACATAGTTTCACTCGTGTATGTTATACCGATTACAAACGATGGCTTTTATTTGCGAAAATATATGACTAAAACTCTTTTAGCTTTTGTCATTCTCATGTTTCAGCCATACGTTTTCTGGTTGAATTCTTTGTTCTAATAAATTATGTTCCCTAGTCGAAGCTAATACTGACGCGTAATAACACTTTTTAGTTTTATAATCAGGAATATCTATAAAAGAAAACAAGAATGAGTTGAATCAAGAAATGATAGTTTTGTGCAATGTATTCTGAAGATTCGATCTAATTTGAGTTGACGTTCTTAAGCATTAACATCCGTTTTATTTTCGATAAACTTCAATAAACAAAAAAAAAGTGAAATAAAATAAATTTACAAATAGATTTCGTCCTGTGTATTTCGCCTAATACAATGAAAAGTATTAACTCCACAAATGGCTGTCAGTACCATTTGAATTTGTTGATCTAATCGAAGATAAAATCATATTTAAGAATATGATTATAATGACAATTTTTATCTACATACTTTATCATCTTCACCAATCCATAAACTCAATGAAAGGCGATCCCCTTCATTGATCTGATAAGTAAAATTATCCATATTGCTTTGTCTAAAACGATTCACATGTTCCATTAACCATTCATGTGTCACTTGAATTTGATTGTAGGCATCAATATGAATTTGATCAATGTAAGATGGATCAACGTACAATGGATCATTGTTATGTGGCTCAATGTAAGGTGGATCAATGTAAAAGAAACCACTCACGATGTTCTTGAATTGATCAATTAATAATGGAATTTGACTTTTCGAAACAATTGAAACAATCAATCGTTCTACGTGTGGAAAAAGTCGAGACCACTTGTCTGTATTATCACCTTGATAATTTGCATATCGAGATAAACACAATACTCGAACTTGTTCCAGAGAAATACCAGTAAAAGACATATAACTCAATTCCCAATAGGAACCATTCAGACTAAGATAATTAACACAAGGCATTGATCGTTTAATCGCAGTCATCAGTGACGAGAGTGAGAGAGTAGAAATATCTACAGTTAATGATTGTACTTTAGATAGGTCGATGATATTCTGGTACGTACAAAATGTGTCGATAATAAGTATCTTAACATGATTATAACGATAAGGTAAATATCGTAGATGCCCTTGAAGCCTTAGTTCAGTAACACGGTCGTAAAAAACCATATGTTGTTCAATAGGTAATGTTGTAAGATTCGGTGACACTGGAACAAAGGAATGCTTAATCGAAGTTGGAACAAAGTAAGGTACAGTAAAGAGACACGATCGACTTGAATTATAAGCAATAAACCAGCGTTTATCGAGCCAAAATGGAGAACGAAACTGATCAAGTTCATATTGACCAATGCGCCACTCAGAAGAAAATTTAAATTCAAACGTTATGAGTCGTGGCAAATATTCAGTAATAAAATTTTCCCATTGACCAGCATCGAGAAATTGACGTTTTGCATCACGGGCAATAACCAGTTCCAGTCGTCGTAAACACTGTAATGGAGCAAGAAATCGCTCGAGATGAACATGAGTTAGTCTTGGACCAAAAAAAACGAAAAAGAATATTTAATATTGTTTTGTATGACCTTTATACTCACGAGCTACATCAATAGACAATGTCAAATAAACGAGAGTCGATTTTGTTGACTGTTCTTGATGAAAATTGGCTAGCATGTTGATATATTCATTATTTAAACATTTGAATGACATTTTAAGTGAAGTGAGTCGAATAGCTTGACGAAGGATTCGTTGTAATTCCGTGGCGGGACAATTAGATAACGATAGTTGATGTAGTTGTTCAAATGAAATCCTAGTAGTCAATCGTTTAATATTAAAATGCTCACATGATAGAATATTAATAGAGAGCCTTTTTAGTGGTGGTATGCTATTAATCAATGGAAGATCAGTTTTAACGTCGATTTCAAGAGAAACAAGATGTTGAAGATTGTATAAATCAAAGGAGAATGACTTACTATTGTCATTCACTTCAATTAATTTTAATGCACGTAAACGAGTAAAGTTTTTCATTCGAAAGATCGATAAAAACCATGAAGATTGATAGGGTGTATCTGTCTTATCTGACAGGATTAACGAAATCACTTGTTCTGGTTTAATAAGACGACATACAAGATCGAAGTGAGATTTACGAATCGATTCGAAATTAATCAAAAAATAATCATAGTGCGATAGAACACGATTAAAATAGTCGCTAATTCTATAAAATGCATATAGAATTTCATGAGCCCATAAATAATTAAAAATTATATAGACAATTTCGACTGGAAGTCGATCGAAAAAGAAAGGCATGATTATCTAGAAAACATTTAATAAAAGTTTACTAAAGAAAATAATGATAAATCATGTTTATTTGGTTGTCCTGTCTTCAATATGAATGCGACCAAAGATGAATGAAAGCTACTCATAATGATGTTTGGTGCAAATTATTTAATTTACAGAGCTAGAACTGCAAACTGAATGAAGAATACAAAAATATTCAGATCTGGCAAAAAAAGTTCTTTTAAGAAATGTGGAGAGTTAGCGTATTCAAATGATCCATTGCCAGCACTTTAGCTCAATCTAAATCGGAATAAAGAGAGATACATCTATGAATATATCTCATTTTCTAATCGAGTCAAAGTAGATTTTTACTCAAGAAAATTGTCCTTTTCTCAGTATTACTCTTTTGCTATAGAATTTACACCTAGATTCGATTGTCGATCAATTTTCATCATGAGGTAGGAACTTGTCACAACATAAACTATTGTAGTTTTCATGGAGGATTCTGTATACCATAACAGGAGATCATCTGTAGACGATACTGGCTACAGTGCCTTTTTAATCTCTGAATAATATGAATTATTGAAACTAATGAAAAACTTTTTCAAGACTGATCTGAATGAGCAATAGAACAAAGAAGTTCGAGATTATTCTTCTCTCTGGAAATGTAACAAAGATTATAGCAGGAGTTTTGCACGATTATTTCGCGGTAAAATATTACAATGCTGGTTTTGAGATCGATGCCATTATAATTAGTTCTCAAATAAAACTTATGAACGGTCATTGGTTCTACAATGGCATTTCGAAGACGGAATTAATGATAATCTGATCATAACTGCTTTCACAAATGTTGACAGGACCGATGAAGTGCTTCACTCGTCTATTGGTGGTTAGGGCTTCTTCGAACCGCAGAAGCTCTCAGTTAATAAGGGTATACGCTAGAGAAAAATTACTTCAGAATGTATGATTCTTATTGAGTGAACTAATGAAATACAGGAGCGATGGATGGAGTCATTTATAGTGCAAGTAATAATGTAAATCCGTCGTCGATGTCAATAGAAAGGTCAAATATATAACTACCGATATTTTTCTCGCTTGACTAGCCGATAGCAATAACGAATGTCCTGATACGTCCAAATCAAATATGTATGTACGAACAAAAAAGGAGCCAGCTAAATGAAAACAGCTGTCATCGAAAAATATTTATGTTTTCATTGATCTTTGCTATCGTATCTGTAATAAACATTTTCAATTTATTTTACCCAATAGATAATCAAACGAGAAATTTTTCTGGATTTTTTTTTCGTAAAAGAATAGAAGACTCGACACATTGAATGAATGCTATTCGAATTCAATTCAATTCAATCGATAGAAGATCTCTAAAGAAGAATGATGGATAGTAACAATTAAGAAGCTTGAATGTGGGTATGGGTGTGGCTGCTGGAATGGAAAATCAAGCTCACATCCCACCTATATCCACACCCTTTTTATATGTTCTAATGTTTTTTTCTTACACTCAAAATGAACAACTCACATAACACTGTCACTGTCTACTATATTGAAAACGTTGAAAGACTGTTTTATTCTGCACATATCTCGACTTGAGGAAACAATGAAATATTGAATTTCTTTTTAAAAGATGTGCTGTCGAAAACTCTACAAAATTTATGTATTCCAAATCTTTTTGAGAACTTAAAAGTCTTCACAACATTTTCAGTATGATAGGAAGTGACAGGGTTATGTGAATTATTCATTTTGAGTGTAATAAAAAGAACATTAATACATATAAAAAAGAATTTAATCCTACAACTTTTATAGAGCTTTTCATGGCGCATCTTTTGGAAAAGAATTCAAGGTCTTATCGTTCACATAAGCCGAGATAAATACGAAATAAAAAATGCAATAACATTATGGACACCGAGTATTGTAATACAAAAATTTGAGGATATTGGTGTGAGCGTATGTGTTAAGGAGCTACGGTTCCTTCCGGACCTGGATCCGGATTCAAAATTTAATTTTTTTTCTTGGGTGAGAACCAGGTCCGGGTCTAAGTTTTTATTTTTTTTCGGTCCACTTACACTTTTTTGTCGACCTACTGCTCCATAAATAAGAAACAGAGCAACACGATGTTAGTATACGTTGAGTTTTTTTTCTTAGAGTCGCGAATAAATAGCTAAAACGTTGATAATTCCTTCGTTCACGTACAAAAAGAATACTAGGTATTGACGGAGAAAACCTCGAGTTTGGATCCAAGTTTTAAATTTTTTCCAGGTTCGAGTCCACAAAAACGTGAATCCACAGCTCTCTAGTGGGTGTGGCTATACAGGAAATGAATACTTACAGTAACATATTCACATCCATCTTCTCTGCCTACAAGGTTCACTGGTATGTTGTCCATCGAAAATATTCTTTTATTACAGTGATTATTGTTATAAATCATCTGGTCAATGGAACATCAATCATGTCAAAAATAAATGCAGCTCATCTCGTGCTAAAAAACAGCTCTTCTACACCTCGTTCTTTACATAACTTTATTGTCTGTCAATCATGTAGAATCTTTGTTCAACTTTTTAAGCCTAGATCAACGTATTCGTAGATTTCACAGTTTTAATTTTCGTTTCAATTCTCTTATTCTTGATCGTATTCGTTTTCGTAGTGTCGATTTTCGATCAATATCGAAAGATGGATTTGATACTATTTGTCGACAATATCTTCCATCGATCATCGATCAAATTCCTATATTTTGTCTTTCAGACAACAGCTCTACACTAGGCCAAATCAATCGATTTTACGGTTGTTGATTCAGTCTTCAACAATTTACCCAACTTCGTTCGCTGACAATATATAGAGTACATACAGAAGAAACGAGAAATAGAATTTTGTCGGCATTGCCTCACTTACTCAATCTGACTCATTTGACATTGGAGCATTCCAATCTTTTCTGTTGACACGATCGCAGTCTTTCATCGATAAGCATGATTTGGCATTTACCGAAATTCATTCATTGTTATTTTATCCATTTTTATTTAGTCGTCGACGAAAGCAAAGAGCCTTTTTCATCACAACTAACTTCATCAAATACTCAACATCTATCTTTAGCGATTTATAATAATAAATTTAAACTCACTAAACTGTTGAAAAAAACATCCAATATCCGACCTTTATATCGATTTGGCGATTGTTCTTAATTCCTGCCCTCATCAATTTTTTTATCAATAACAGTATTGAAGGTTTTACACATTCTGTTTTCGAAGATCGAAAGTCTTGTAAAATAGATGCCAAAAGTAATTCAGTTAAAAGTGTTTATAAAGGATTCTGTTAGCGGACAAGAATGGGAACAAATCACTCGAGAATATGTACCAAAGCTGAAAATATTAGAATTCATTATGACATTTAAGCTTATGAGTAGTCCTGAAGTCAACAAATTAAAACTCGATGAAATCCTTAACTTATTTCGAAATCGTTTCTGGCTTGATGAACGTCGATGATTTATTCGATGTGATTGCGATCGATTTTATTTTCACGAAATTACTCTATACCTTACCATATCACTTTACAGATATGTCATTTTGTAATCTTTATCTGTCGAAATCGACAGCTTCTAAAGATTATGATCTTAATATTCATATGATTGTGTGAAGTCACTTATTTATGGTTATGATCCAATTGAAGATCATGATTCATCTCACAATCATTCTCTCAGTATTTAAGAGCAATACACTGAACTGCTAGCCTATGACCAATTTCGGTCTATAGTCCCACAAGTTGATCGATTGATTTCACTATTTGTGATATTATTTGATACAAGTGAACATTGCATAGCGCAACTTCAAGCATTGTTTGATCAGGTCTCATATCTTTCTCTTTTAATAATAGACTAACCATCCAATGAAGCTCTTGAACAATTACTGTGCATCATTCAGAGTGTATCAGTAAACCATCTGGACTTAAATTATCTAGTCATCAATGGTTCAATAATGAAGAGTGTATCAAATTAAGCCGTACACCTCTTGCAATACAATGTGAAATTCTGAAAATCAATATAATGAATCGAATATGTGTCCTTGATCTTGTTCGAAATATGAGCAAACTGAGAGCATTAACGATAATCTGCGCAGAAGAATATGGCAATAAAGCGTCGGATGAAGAACTAATTGATTGATTTCGAGCACATCTATCATCGACTTGTCATATTACGACAAAATCTCCTTGGGATGTTCATGTCTATTGTTGAATTAGTTAATAAACGGAAATTGAATTGGAATATGTCTAAACAAAGAAAAAAAGGAGTTCGATTTAGGATCACAAGATAATCTCAAACTTTTTATCAATGTATAACTGATGTGGGTGTGAGTGTGAGTATGAATGAAGAGATAACTTGCGTTTGAGCCTAGTAAGGAGAGATTTTTTCACGCTTATTATGAAATTGTTGTACCGTAATAATACAACAAATAATGAGGTTAAAAGATAAATGTGATCCTCACAGTACATGAAGGAGGAAATAAGAATGAGTTTGCGTGTACACTTCTTCTCTGAATATATGTGTGCATGTAATTTGATGATCGGAGGAGCGCGTGATTTAAAACCAAATAGCCAAAATTTATCATAAGAGAAAAAATTCCTTACTCTTTTAAATAGTATGTGGTCAACTAAAATAACAAACTACATGAGATAATGAATCATTGTGATTGTCTTTTATGGAAACATATCATGTGTCAGAAGGTCTTCCACTATTTGACAGAGATGTTTCA